CTGCCTGGGAGAGGCACATAAGAGCTGCCTGTTCCCGAGAGTCCCTGAACACCTTCGTTTGGATGTCAGAGCGTGGGGACATCAGCGAGCCAGAAGCGCCCTCCGCGCGCGGGGTCTTTGAGGCCCCAGAATGGGAGCTACTAGTAAATCCGCGCTGCACCTGCGGCCCTGGCCAGCGCTCAGGCCAGCAGAGGGCCGCGGTCCACGCTCGGTGGACCCTGACTGACCACTGGTCTTCGGTCTTCCCCTCCATCTTCTAGGTAGGATGCCCAGAACCCAGTCAGCAGTGGCAGCAAGAAAAACAGGCTCGGTTTCAATGTCAACCCAGGCAATTCGGGAGGCTGAGAACCAGCCAAAGATACAAAAGCAAAACACAGACAGTGCATCCTAGAGGATGTTTTGAATTACCCACTTCGTAATTCTTGTTATTCACTGCATAATATTTCAAGTTGAAAATTATTTTATGTGCAGTAAGTTGAAGGTAAGCCTTGGTTGCCAGTTATGACTCCTCAGTTAACTAGCCCTTTGACCTTCACAAGCCATTGACCTTCACAAGGCATTTTTCTTTTCCAAGTCCTATTTTACTTACCTTCAAATGAGGGGAGTGGGCCAAATGGTTTACAATGTTTCCAAATTCTAGGAATTCCATGCTTTTAATAATTTTCTAATAAAGCATGATAATTGACAATGTTCATTCTTGGACATACAATCCTTTTCCTTGGCTGTAGTTGATAGTAAAATAATCCCCCCTCTCAGGGCATGACAGAAACTTCAAAAGTGTCTACTATGGTGCAGCCACTATGGAGAACAGCATGGCAGTTTCTCAAAAAATTAAAAATAAAACTGCCTATGATCCAGCAATTACACTTCCAGGAATATACCCAAAAGAATGAAAAGCAAGGTCATGAAGAGATATTTGTGCACCCATATTCATAGCAACATTATTCACAATAGCCAAAAGGTGCAAGCAACCCAAATGTCCACCCACAGATAAATGGATAAAGAAAATTGAATGAATGATAAACAAAATGTATGTGTGTGTGTGTGTGTGTGTGTGTGTGTGTGTGTGTATAGTATTCAGCCTTAAAGGTGAGGAAATTCTGCCCTGAGATTTGTGGCTCAGTTGATTGAGTATCATCCTGTGCATTGAAAGGTCACTGGTTTGATTCCCACTCAGGCACTACCCAGGTTGTGGGTTCAATCCTTAGGATGCATACAGGAGCCAACCAATCATGTTTCTCACATCGATGTTTCTCTCCCTCTCTTTCTAAAATCAATAAACTATTTTTAAAAAGAAAGGAAATTCTGACACATGCTACAACATGGATGAACCTTGAGGACATTTTGCTAATGAAGTAAGGCAATCACAAAAACCATATGATTCTACTTCTATGAGTCGCCTAGGGTAGTCAAATTTGTAGAAATAGAAAGTGGAATAGTGATTTTCAGAGGCTAGAGAGTTGTTTAATGGGTATAGAGTTTCAGTTTTGCAAAATGAAAAGTGTTCTGGAGATGGATGGTGGTGATGGTTACACAACAAGGTGCATGTACTTAACGCTACTGAACTGTATACTTAAAAATGGTTAAGATGGTAAATTCTATGCGCATTTTACAACAAAAAAAGATTTTAAGAGTCTATCTTAAGTCAGAACTAGAGGAAGAGACCTGAGTTAAGTGATACATGAAGCAGTCTGGTAATAGGTAGAAAAGTGAGCTAGTGAGCCTTCCAATTACCCAGATCTAATGTATTACCTTTCATTCAGAGCTTGATTACTGCAAGCTTTAAAAAAATAAGTCTGATGATTCCAAGTTTGCAAAATAGCAGCTTGGATGAGGCACTATTCAAGGACACAAAATCATGAAGCTATTGCTGCTTTTTCAAAGAATCTTAGACCCAAGGCAGAAGTCTCTGAGAAGCGATGGTAAGAGTGGAGAAATTAGGGGTGGTTTCTAAGCACACCTGATTTTCTCTGGAAATGGATGGGGAAAAATAATTCTAGAAAAGACAAATTTTATGGATTGAAAAGTTTTGGAGTATGAGGTATAGGCTACAATGTAGAAGGCGAGATAGTGCCCATCATTCTTTGAAGTGTGCCAAGAGTCATGCCTATTATGGTACCTACTTGATTCCCCTTGATAACACTCTGAGGAAGGTAGCTTTACATTATCTAGAGCCCTAGATTGCATAGGTAGCTATGAACACCCAAGTATAAAATTTTGTTTCCAGAGCTCATGATATGGATGAAGACTATTATAAAAGCTGCTACAGGGGCAAGAAGCAACCAGGAGGAATAAGATGAAAGAAGAAATCAGAAGAGAGAAGAGTAAGTTTGTTTTTGGATTGGAATGTCTTGTGTTCGCCTTACAAATGACACATTTTATCTAAATTCTTACCCCCATGAAGTTTAGGGGCTACATAGCCATGAGTAACATGGCCATTCATCTTATGAACATCTTTCCAGGCTTTAAATTACACAAATATCTCCTTTCTCCCTTCAAAAATTGTGACATTTTCAATGGCAATCCATAGGTGAAATGTCTTCATGTCATTTTTTTAAAGACAAAGCTTTATATTTTTCTTAAAATAAGGGGCAAGGAAAAGTAATATTTGAATAGGAGTTCTGTGAATTCAGTTGAAATATGAACTATATAGTACAATTTCACACACCTTTTACTAATAGTTTAAGCCCACCAATTGGCAAGATCTGACAATACCAAGTGTTAGCAAGGATTCAGAGCAATGGGTAAATTTAATTCACTGCTAGTGGAGCTCTAAATTGGTATGAGCACGTTGACAAATAATTTGACCTTACTTCAAAATTAAACATGTGCCTAGCCAGTTTGGTTTAGTGGTTGAGCGTCGACCTATGAACCAGGAAGTCATGGTTTGATTCCCAGTTGGGGGTCTGGGCACATGCCCAGATTGTGGACTCAATCCCAGGTAGAGGTGGTACAGAAGGCAGCCTCAATAAAAATATATTTTAAAAAATTGAAACATGTGCATACTTTACACCCAGAAGCTATATATATATATATATATATATATATATATATATATATATATCCAGTGATCCCACTTCTAGGAATATATCCCAAGAAGCCAGAAACACCAATCAGAAAGGATATATGCACCCCTATGTTCATAGCAGCACAATTCACCATAGCTAAGATTTGGAAACAGCCTAAGTGCCCTCAGCAGATGAGTGGATTAAAAAACTTTGGTACATCTACACAATGGAATACTATGCTGTGGTAAAAAAGAAGGAATTCTTGCCATTTGCAACAGCATGGATGGAACTGGAGAGCATTATGCTAAGTGAAATAAGCCAGTCAGAGAAAGATAAATACCATATGATCTCACTCATTTGTGGAATATAAAGAACAACATAGACTGATGAACAGGGACAGATCCAAAGACAGAGAAACAGCGATCAGACTGTCAATCCCCAGAGGGAAAGTAGGGGAGGGTGGGGGTAAGGGGAAGAGATCAACCAAAGGAATTGTATGCATACATATAAGCCAAACCAATGGACACAAACAACAGGGGGATAAAAGCAGGAGTGCGGGGGAGGTTGGGGTTAATGGGGGTGGGGGGGATAAGGACACATTTGTAATACCTTAACCAATAAAGAAATTAAAGATAAAAAAATTGAAACATGTGGCCCTAACCAGTTTGGCTCAGTGGATAGAGCGTCGGCCTGTGGACTGAAGGGTCCCGGGTTCGATTCCGGTCAAGGGCATGTACCTTGGTTGCAGGCACATCCCCAGTAGGGGGTGTGCAGGAGGCAGCTGATCGATGTTTCTCTCTCATCGATGTTTCTAACTATCCCTCTCCCTTCCTCTCTGTAAAAAACCAATAAAATATATTTTTTTAAAAAGGAAACATGTGCATACTTTACACCCAAAAGTTATACACACACACACACACACACACACACACACACACACGTATATATATATATGTATATACAAACACACACACATATCTATAATAATAAAAGTGTAATATGCAAATAGACCGAATGACTAAACAGCAGAATGACCGTGTGGACGACCTTACAGACCACCATGCTATGACACCCCTGGCACCAGGCCAGCCAAGGCGGGTGCAATGTGATTGGCCGGGGGCCTGGCCATTGCCCCATGATCACCCTGCAGAGAGAGGCCCAGACCACCAGATGGCAGGGTGATCGATCAATCAGGGGGCTCCATGATCACCCAAAAGAGGGAGGCCCAGGCTACTCCACAGCAGTGCTGCGGCGGGTGGGCAGGGCCTCCCTCTGTGGGGCAATCCATCCAGGAGCCCTGGCCAGGTGGGCGAGGCTTACCTCTTTGGGGCAATCAATCATGAGATTCCTGGACTGTGAGAGGACACAGGCTGGGCTGAGGGGACACCCCCCCTCCCCCCACCGGCCCCCAGTGCATGAATTTCATGCACCGGGCCTCCATATATA